CAGCTTGGTATCAGGGGACCAATATTCGCACAACTACAGCTAATATCCAGCATGCACTGACACATAGGTGCATCTGTGTGCACCAGTGCCCATCGGCATGCACATCCTCATGCATTGGCCCCAACCTGCCTATTTAAAGGAAATCCTGCTATGTGCTAATCGCTGGATGTTCTTCAGCTTCTTCGTGATCCGTTTTTCTGGGTCCCTGATTATGCTGACTGATCTCCCATTGCTGACTTGGCTAGTTCCTGACCTTGCTCTTTGATTTTGGATACTGACTTCGGCTTGCTTCTGACTATATGCCTGCTTCCCCAGTGCTGACCTCGGCCGGCTACTGGACCTCACTCTGCCTTCCACCATAGTACTGACACCAGCCTGCTACCTGACCACACTTCAGCCTCACCATATATGACCCGGCTCACCTTAACAATGTCTCTGTCCCTGCTACCAAACAACCATGCTTTTTTGAGTTTTGTACCACTGTCACCACCTTCAAGGTTGCTTGGACTAGAGCCACAAGGGAAGCCCCCTCGTCAGCTCAGCGTCTAACCCAGGTATGTGTCACTTTACCAAAGGAAGTTGACAAATAACAGACTTACTGGCTGGGTCAGCAAACAATAAAACTATGTTATTTGGGAAAGAGGGGGAGAAACTAACAAAACAAAGACTTCTGTCTCAATGCTTCTGACAGCAGCCAGAATCTGGAGCAGTTGTGAATGGCAACCAATCAGCTTCTAGCTTTCATTTTAAAGGCTTAGCTGAACAAGCTGAAGCTAGAAACTGATTGGTTACTATGCACAACTGCTCCAGATTCTGTCTTCTCCAGTTTCAGTAAATTCTCACCACTGTATAAAAGTGAACAGTTTTTTTTTAAATCATTAGTTGATCATAATGCTGTTGTCTAGATTAGTAGTACTTTCTTTTTGTTGCCTGCACATAACCTACGTCTTTTAAATTGTCAACAGAATGAGCTGAGTATTGTTTATGGGCCAACAAAGTATATTTTGTATTTTAGTCACAGAATAGTGGATGGAAAGAATGTAGTCATCTTTATCAGATTGAAAGGAGATCCAATATTTCTTGGCAACCATTTATAGATTGGTTGATTCATATCACTTTGTTTCTTGTTTTAACTCAACCTATTTCCACATAACTGAAGATTTTTATGTGGTTATTTGATCCCTATTTACTTCATTATTCATTTTTTTTTAACCAAGATGACGTTCAATATTTCTTTCCAGAGAAAACATTTTTGAAACAACTGTTTATTTACTTATTTTAATCAGAATATAGAGTGAGGCATGGCTCTGGAAAACTGCAGTAGACTGGCCCTATTCTTTGCATAATTATTTTGTTTAATGATCTGAGGCCTCCTGATTTCCTATTCTGAATGTACTGGAAAACATCCTTTCACTTGCTCCATTCATTTCAATGAAAACTTGCAGAGCAAGGGGCAAAAGGCTTCTCTGCATATTAAACAGGCATTTTTTCAGGACACTAAATGAAAAAAAAGACACAATACACTGCCTATATAAACAATTCACCATAGTAACAAAGTGGCAATTACCTAGTCACGCTTGTTGGTTTAATATAGAATAAATAATGATTTGGTAAATTCATTGTTACTGTGTTTGTTAGCTAATTATTACTTTTAAATAATGCAATACTTGTGCCAATATGTGGCTCACTTATACTGTCTAAAATACAGCCTAGAAGAGTTTTTACACTAAGGAATGCTTTTTTTTTAACAATCAGGAAGATACTGTAAACACACTGTGCCTGGTTTACTAAAGGAGTAAAGACTTTTGCAATGTGAATTTCACTTTGCAAGGGAATTTTCACATAGGAAAGTGGTGAAAAATCACCTTGGAAAAAATACACAATCATGTGCAATGTACAATGGAAATGAAAAAAAACATTATTTTTGCCTGCACATGATCGGATGTTAGAAGAGAGCACAGGTTCTGCACATTCACTACACTAAGTGAAAATTTCTTTGCAGTAAAAAATCACTTTGCAAAGTGAACAAGCTTTTACTTTTTTAGTAAGCATGAGTGAAGTCTTGCTATTGATATATACTGTATATATCAGTTATTCATTATTGTTTATTATTTTCTGTTTGTATGGCCAGTTTGTCCCTGATTCCTAGCTGTTCATAACGGTGCAGACTATACTTGTACAGGCTATTATTCACTATCACTTCAATGTTTTTTATCTCACCCAGTTTCTTCTCTTCTATTGTATTATACTGTGTCATTTTATAAACAGGTCACTATTCCATTTTATTATTAAGCATACTTTGCTATAAAACGCTGCATAATCTGTACGTTGAAAGAAAATGGCACTCCTATTGATAAAGCTTAATAACACTTAAAGGGTTACTCCATCAAAAGTGATATTTCAGTTACAAGTTGAGTGTGGTAGGTCCAACCCATTATTGGCTTCTTAGATATCCAATGACAATATATTATTTCCATACTTTCTAGCAATTCCTCATTTACCTTTGAGCTTTGGGTGTTCCTACACTTCAATGGAAGTTCCTGCTTATTTTGCTGTATTCATAATATAAACTCAATTAAAATCATGCAGGAAGACTTGGATCCCAGTAAACTGCAGAGTGTACTTATAAGCTGCAATTCTCTTAAAGGGGACCTGTAGTCTGTGTAATTTGTTGGCAACTGATAAACCTTTTCAGAGATGCTAGAAAATAAACCCCCCTGACAATTTCTTATATCTCTAAGGGTCTTTATTAGTTATATCCTGGAGTTTGAGTAGCTGGGTCTGAACACCTGTTGTGGTCATTGTAAGGGGTTCCTACTCTTCCTGATGGATTTTTACATTTCTTTTAGACTATGGTAGCGCAAAAGAAGGTACTGGTGTAACACACAATGTTTGGAAGGAACACACAAGACTTCCAAGTGGACAGGCACAGGTTCTGGATTTTGCAGTCACATTATCCAAGCCATATAATAAGTCAGAGACTGACTCTTCACCCCCCAGGTTTCACTTATAACCTAGAGCTGTCACTTCCTAGGTTTCAATATACCATCTGCTTGGTATTGGAGCTTTTACTTGATGATCTACCACAATATGGAACATCACTTGCTCACCCTACATGAATGGGAGCACTACATACTGTACATTAAAAGGAAACCTACCTTACTAGTGGTCCTGTACAGCCATGTAAGATACAGTATAGTAGATTAACAAGGTTTGAAGCCCAAACTCTGCTGTAGAACTGCACTACTAGAAGTAGTAGTGATAATACAGCAATGTTTATATATAAAAACATAATACTACTATATTAGCATGCTTCAAATCCCTCTACTAGCACCCAAATAATCAGTTCTCTGTTAATATGCCTATCACTAATAACTAAAATTTCCGGCATCTATAAACTGACACTGTCCATAGTCTACTATGTTTCAGATATGAATGGACACAGTCAGTGATTGCCTGTATTCATTCAGAAAAGAAAGGGACCGGTAAATGACATATTTACCGGCCCCTTCCCTGGTTTCCATCCTGAAACATCCCCCACAGCAGCCAACAGAAGAGGTGAGGAGGGGATCCCGGAAACGCTGTAGGGGTCCAATGGAGCACACGGGCAACACAAAAAAGACGAACTTGGAGAGAAGGGCAGCGGGGGGGGCGGCATTTATTGGAATTAATGGGCTGTATTTTTCTCCCTGCTGCAGCTGAATGCTGGTGAGAGAGAGAGGAGAAGAAGCGGGCATTTCTGGCATTCATTTGCTCCAGGGAGGAAAATACAACCCATTGGTTCCTCTAAATGCCACCCCAACGAGAGGGCTCCTCTTTGGGGTTGGCAACCAAGGGACGCGATCTACCCGTCACCTGCCCAGGATCAAACATGTTGCCAACCCCAACGTAAGGAACAGGACAAATGATTACATATAATCAGCAAAACTGCAGACTTAAAAGTTTTGATTTAGTTAAGTATATGCAGGTAGACCAGCATGATTTGAATGGGATGATGCAATCATGCAAACCCGGAAGCCAGAAAATTGTGATTCATGAATTTTAGGATTCTTTGTAATTTGCTGACAGGTTTATTTTGTAATTTAGTTTCTTCATTAATACATATTTCACTATTCATGTTTGTTCACAGCAGAATGCAGTGCAGGAAAACTGCGTTCCCTTTGCGATTCCCGCACCGCATGCAAAATGCAGTTGTAATCTTCAATGTGTCAATGTGAAGCTAACGACACCCCAAACACAGGTGAAAAATGCAGTCTATTTGCCTGCACCAGATCGCATGATACAGAAATATAATGCAATCCTGTTGCAGTGCATTTTTTTAAAGTAGTGCATGCGCTACTTTTGGTGTGGTCCTGTGTGGTTCAGCACATTCAGCACCGCATGTGAAGTTCACAGGAACACGCAGCACATTCCTGAGAAATTTCTTTTGTGAATCGGCCCCTAAATTAGACAAATGTAAAGATCTATTCCAATTAAGATTTTTTTGTTTAGATCCTATTATATAGAAATTATGTAGTTTAACATATATAAATGTATAATCTTTATAGCAAATCATTTGTTTTCGCTAATCTTACTGGTGTTTTACAATAATTACAATAAAATCTGGAGAAGACTGAATAATATTAGATTAGATTAAATATATTTTGTTCTTCCTTTTTTTCTGAGCATGTTTTGCAATATGTTCTGACAATCAAAAAGGGCCCTATTTTGGAAAGTAAACCGAGGATATAGATCTTCGATTTTACAAATTTTTATTGAATAGGAAGATTATTGATGATTTCACTAATATCATATCGCTACCCTGATTGAAGCAGCTATGTAGCTTCAGTTCTCTCTTTGGGCTTAGTGTGTTACTAAGGCTTCTCCATTTTTTGAAAAATTGTTAATGATTTTCCTCTTTGTCTAGTACAGTTTCTGTTTGATGCATTTTGAATAAGTATAAATTCTTTAGAAACAATTTTAAATAGGAGATTCCTATACAGGGGCGGACTGACAACTCATGGGGCCCCTGGGCAATAGGGGCCCCCCTGGTCCTCGCCCACACCCAAAAAGGAAAAAGGAAAGGTCCAGGGGCATGGGGCCCCCTACTGTGGGCCCTCGGGCTCCCGAGTGCCGACACACCCTGTTCCTAAAAAGCCTACAACTAAATCACATTTGTACACATTTTATCCTTTATATATTTTAATATTCATTGAACTTACAGAGCATCACCATTAGCATTTTATCGACACATCGGGTATATACAGCACAAATATGTGTTGACTCATTTAACCACTTCAAGGACACTTTCACCCCCTTCCTGTGCCAAATTTCAGAAGATTTTTTTTTGACATTTTTATTTTATTTTTTTTACTTTATTTTTATATATATCTATATATTTTAATATATTGTCACCTAGACACTGTACTACTTGTGGGGGTGTGATGAAGATTTTTTTTTCTTTTTTTTACACTGATTGCCCATAAAGGCTGTAAAAGCAATCATTTCTCCTTCTCTCTGGCTGCATTCTTGCAGCCATTGAGAAATACTGTGCGAGCTGTGATTGGTCACAGCTTGTCACACGGTACAAGACTGTTGTGAATAGCCTTGTACCATGTGACCTCTGTGATCATTCACAGATTTCACAAGTAGTAAGCAATGATGTCAGAAATGACATCTTGCTTACTACTATTCCTGTGATCACTGATTGGCCAATCAGTGATCACATGATTGGGACCTCACACAGAGGTCCCGTACAGCGATTGGTGTTCCCAGGGAGCGCGCACAGGTGGGGAGTAGGGAGGACGTTTATAAATGGCCACCCGCTCCTGCAATACTCCCGTCCGTCTGTTTAATATACATGGGCCGGACGGGAAGTGGTTAAAGTAAGATACTTACTTTGATGCACTATGATTCCCAATACACAGCAAACTGAGCATGTGCAGCTTGCCCCCAAGGCTCAGTTCTATCAGCAGATGGATTTGAGACATTAAAAGAAGGGGAGGATCAGAGAAGACAGGATCAAACATCCTTTATACACAAGATGGAGGATTAACCCCTTAGGTTCCACAGTGAATATAACAAGCATGCTTTACTACATATACAGACTGATTTTGTTATTGTTTTGTTGTGGGTTTAATAACACTTTAACCACTTCTCGACCGCCCTATAGCAGATATACTGCTACAGGGCGGCACGGGTGCGCAAAATCACGTATATATACGTGATTTTGCATTTCCGGATAGGGGGCGTGCGCACCCTACCCGCGCCACCATTTGTGGCGCGGCTGTCAATCACCAGGTCCTGGCCAGTGATTACTCGCCGGCGCCCGCTGATTCACGAGCATCTCCGATGGGGAGGAGAACTGTTTGTAAATAAAACAGTTCTCCTCCCTGTCACACTGCTTTGGATGGCTGTGCACTGGGAAGAACACAGACACAAGTAAAACAGCACACAGCACAGTTAACCCTTTGATTGCCCCACATGTTAATCATTTCCTGCCCAGTGCCATTAGTACAGTGTCAGTGCTTTTTATTAGCACTGATCACTGTATTGGTGTCACTGGGAATGTCAGTGACACCAAGTCAGCTCCCCCCAGTGTCAGAATGCCTGCCGCAGTCCCGCTATAATTCGTTGATCGCCACCATCACTAGTAAAAATAACAAAAAATAAACCCAGTATATATTCCGCCATTTTTAAATGCTATAACTTTCACGTAAACCAATTAATTTACACGTATTTGGATTTTTTGTAGCAAAAACATGTCACAGAATACATTTTGACCTAAATTTATGACGAAGTTCGATTTTTAAAATGTTTTTTACTGGACATATTTAATAGCAAAAAGTCAAAATACAGTTTTTTTCTAAAATTTGATGGTCTTTTCTTTTTTATAGCGCAAAAAAAAAAAAACATGCACAGGCGATCAAATACCACCGAAAGAAAGCTCAAATTATGGTAAAAAAAAGGATGAACATTTAATTTGGGTGCAGCATTGCATGACCGCGCAAATGTCAGTTAAAGTAACGCAGCGCCGTAAAAAATGGCCTGGTCAGGAAGGGGTGTAAATCCTCTGGAGGGCAAGTGGTTAATCTTGATGCATTGTTTGTCTGGGCCTTCTTCATTAATCAAAGACAAAACATATGTGTTGCTTATCACTCAGACCTCATTTTTAATAATCCATATCATCTCTAAACATGATCTCAGTCTCAGCAAAGTCATCTAAACTACATTTACAGCTTTATTCATTTTAGTGAATTCTATTGTTCTTATAATATTCAGTCTGCTACAATTAAAAGGATACATTTCCTCAGTCTCTTCTACTCCAGTGATGAGAATGCAATGTCACAAGCAGGTGTGGACTGACAACTCATGGGGCCCCCGGGCAATAGGGGATCATGGGGCCCCTGTGTCCTTGCCCAAACACAAAAAAGCCTATGAAAAAGGTACCAGGGGCATCTCATGGGGCCCTCTACTGACCCCGGGCCCTCGGGCGGTGCCCGAGTTTCCAAATGGTCAGTCCGCCCCTGGTCACAAGGGGAAGGGCTACAGCAAGGGGTTGTTCTATGTAAGACATTTGTGAACACGGCCAAGACCTGCGCAGTTAGCAAGTTTTTTGTGGTTGTATCATCTATACCAAGCATCTAAGTCCAGGAAGTACTGTAGATGTTGACCCTGTATGATGCCTAAACAAAGATGGCACCAATCTTCCGGAAAGTAAATAAATACCTGTAATGTTCCAATTTCTCATTTTTTTTTAGTGTGAAAAATACATTGGATGCTAGGTCCACTTTAACCACTTGCCTACTGAGCACTTTTACCCCTTCCTGCACAGGCCAATTTTCAGCTTTTAGCGCTGTTAAACTTTGAATGACAATTGTGCGGTCATGCAACACTGCATGCAAATAACATTTTTATCTTTTTTTGAGACATATAGAGCTTTCTTTTGGTGGTATTTAATAACCACTGGGTTTTTTATTTTTTGCTAAACAAACTAAAGAAGACTGAAAATTTAAAAAAAAACACTTTTTTTTAAGTTTCTGTAATAAAATTTTGTAAATAAGTAATTGTTCTCCTTCACTGATGTGCACTAAAGAGGCTGCAGTGATGGGCACTGATAGGCTGCACTGATGAGGAGGCACTGATAGGTGGCACTGATGGGCATTGACAGGCATAACTGGTGGGCATTGATAGGCATCACTGATGGGCACTGAAAGGCAGCACTCATATATGGCACTGATGGGCATTGATAGGCCGCACTGACTGGCACTGATAGGCGGCACTGATTGGAACTGTTAGGCGACACTGAATGGAACTGTTAGGCAGCACTGATAGGTGGCACTTATGGGCACTGATAGGTGGCACTGACTGGCATTGATCAGCAGCACTGACTGGCACACATAGACGGCACTGACTGATATGTGGCATTGATGTGCACTGATGGGCACTGGTATGTGACATTGATGGCCCTGACAGGTGGCATTGATGGGCACTGATGGGGCTACATTGATCATCATGGCACTGCTCATTAGTGCCCTGTTGATCAGTGTAGATGTCCCCTCTGAGGAATGCCGTCTCTCCTCTCTTCATGCGCTGTCAGCGTGGGGAGAGGACTGCCGATAACTGGCATGTCCTGTTTACATGTGTTCAGCTGTAATTGGACACAGTGCCCCTGGGGGTGTGCCCAGAACGAGAGATCCACCGCCCGTCCGTCATTTCCTTATATGGTGGGCGGGAGGCGGTTAAAGCCTCATACACACGATGAGAATATTGCACGAATGATCATCCAGTTTTTTTTTTGCATGCTAGTTTCATACCAATAATGAAAAGGTTACTAAAGTTATGAAAATCCTTGTAGGAGAGAATAAAATTTTTAAATTGATGCCATGTATTGTAATGTATTTGTATTGTATTTTTGGATGGAAACTGTACTGACTGAACGAAAATTGTATGATCTGGCATTGTACAAGAAAAATATTGTTGCTTGTCCCTTCGAATAATTTCGAATGAAAGCTGTGTACTAACGATCAGATTATCGTGCGATCGGTTCGAAAGTGGTATTTTTTGTACAATATTCTGATTGTGTGTACTAGGCTTTAGGAAGTAGTTTAGTAATTTAGTACTATCTAAATACAGAAGAGCATTCAATAGTGTATCCGAAAGAGATAAGTGGTGTGCAGCTACATGTAGATTGAAGCTGAGAGTATACAATTCTTTCAGCAGCACCTGAATCAAAGAGTGGCACGAGCGAGAAATTGCAGGCTTTTATATTCTACATCAGGTAGGGTGCCACAGTAGATTTTCATCCAGACTGCAAAATACTTCTCTTTCTGGGAAATAGAGGCTCTTGGAGAATGAATGGTGAAGCAGCTATTGATTTCTTTATTTGTTTTGAGTTGAGTGAGCGAGGAAAGCTCTTGTTTAATGTTTCAAATAGTTTTACGCTTTATTTCTTGAAGAATTTTGCTTGCTCAGTAGTAAAATTGCTTTGGAATAACAAAAATGTACAGGCAGTGATGGGGTGATGAAGATACTCTTGCAAACAATTTTCAGTTTCACATTCGTAGTTGTTAGAAGATGTGCAACAATGGTTGCAATCAACAATCCATTAGATTACATATAAATAAGAGAATTCTATATGGAATACTATCAGGATATAAAAAATTATCAGTTTATAGAAGCTTGTCACAAAAGCCAGGGAGGCACACGTTTTTAGATTTAAAGAGGAAAAAAGATTTATTTTTTACTTTAGATGAGTGGCGGTATGGTCAATTAGTTCATTTTGTTTCAATGCTCCCACAACCACTGAGGACGTCAGAGGATCAGTATCCATTTGAAAAATTGTTGAATGTAACTACAGGTCCAAAACAATCCACCTCTAGGATTTATAAGATCCTTATGGATATGCAAGGAGTTGATCCTCCCCAGTTCTGGGCAAAATGGGAAAAGGAGCTTGGAACAGAATTGAAAGAGCAACAAAGGAATAAAATATTTAATTTAACACACAAGGTGATAAACATGAGCACAGTTGAAATGAACTGTAAATGTTTGGCGAGATGGAATATTACAGCGAGTATGGAACATAAACAACAAGTAGAGGTATCACCGTTGTGTTGGAGAGGTTGCAGGGAAAAGGGAACAATGGCACATATATGGTGGGATTGCCCAAAAATACAGGATTACTGGAAGGGAATTACCCAATATATTCAGGAAATATGTGGGATTACTGTACAGAGGGACCCGTGGACGTACCTATTTTATAATCTGGAGCCTTCAGTGAAACTGCATAAAAATAGGGTACTATACCACCTAATTATTGCGGCTAAGGGCTTGATTCCCAAGTTCTGGCAAGCTCTAGAGCTACCACAAATAAATGATTGGATAAATAGAGTGGAAAATATTTATAGGATGGAGGAGCTATATTACATAGAGGAGGATAAAACAGAAAAATTTAGGAAAACACGGAGCAATTGGTTAAAAACGTTAAAACATCTAAAAGATATTCAGAGTTGGTTGGAGTCTAGGGGGAAATCTAGAGAGAGCTCAATGGAGTACCCAAAAGAGAGAGTGGAGGTGTGAGGGAGAGATAGACAACTATGAGAGAAGATGGAAACTGAGTTATAGGACGTGGACTGGGGTAAACGGGAGGGGGAGGGTGGGAAGAAGGATAGGGGTAAGGGGTAAGGTGATGTAAAATGGAATTTTAAGTACATGTGAAGTGTTTATGTACTAGGTTGGCTGTTGATAGTATTGAACTTTCCCTTGGCAGATGAGAGTAGGTAGTGTTCCTGATGCCTACAGTTCTTAGGACCCGGAAAAGAAATTAATGTAAATTAACATACTGTATAATGAGTCCAAGAGTGATCCGTAAATCTCTGTGCACGAGACTTCCGTGATAAGGATTTGTAGTATGATTGCACTCACCAGAAGCGCAATGATAATGCACATGAACATATATCCAAATAATCCTTGGTGAACATCAGGGCTCAGGCGGGGACAAGGGGCTCCACTGGTACACAATCAGCACATATCCCTTTGATTACATGCTTTCGCATGAAACTCATCAGGAAGGAGCCTTGCCACATTGACGTCACGCCGCTGAGACCACATGGAAGGCCTGCGGCCATCTTTGAGCCTGTAAGCATATACTGTTTATCATCTGGATTTGTTCTTTTGCTGAAATTTCAAATAAAAAAACACTACACTATCAAATACTCTTGTTTGTGGCTTGTGTATGAGCCATTCAAGATGAAGATATATCCTTTTAGCAACATATTCTTGTGGTGGAGAGATATGAGAGGATCTGTCCCCATGTGCTGTGAAGGTCCGGTTTGTGAGGTCTGGAGTGCTTTTCCTGTGTGCTCATTGTGTACCAGTAGAGCCCCTTGTCCCCGCCTGAGCCCTGATGTTCACCAAGGATTATTTGGATATATATTCATGCACATTATCATTGCGCTTCTGGTGAGTGCAATCATACTACAAATCCTTATCACGGAAGTCACGTGTACGGAGATTTATGGATCACTCTTGGACTCATTATATGTTGATTTACATTCATTTATTTTCCGAATGCATTCATCATGTATTAACTACTGTAGTTCATTACCTTTATGTGGAATATTTCACCATTGCCACTATTGAATTATCCATTCACTAATATTTTGGTACATTTTTTGACGACACACTCCATATTTGCTGTGGTCACTTTTAGCGCAAGCACTTTGCGCCTCACTGTATATGCATTTGTCACTTTCATTATTTAGCGCTGCATTATATATCTATTAGTCTATTTGAGGATACAGGGGTTCATCCTTAATGCCAGCAGCTTGATATTAATCATGCGCTCACTTGCCATATATTTTATTAGTTCTTAGGACCCACATAAAAAGAAACAAATCAGAATAAATGAGGAAACATGTTAAAGGCAATAGGAATTCTTTTTTAAATTAAATAGTTTTTAATGTGCTTTTAAAACCAGATGATATATAATAGCAAACATTTCAAGATGCTCACAGTTGGGTTAGAATTCCTACTGTTTACCCCAAGGACTCTGAAACCAGAGTGCTCTGGTGTGCAAAACATCAACATATACAGCAAAAAATAGCTTGCCCTCAAAATTTTTCTTTTGAGAATCTGCTTTGTACTGTACTGCGCCCTGTGCAGTTTCTGTGGCTTTCTTGACTGGACAAAATCAAGTGTGAAGCCCTTTCAATTTTTCCCCAGTCACAGTCTTTGAACCTGAACAACTCATGTGCCACATATTGACCTAGAGATCCCACTAATGAGTGAGTGGACTGGACATGCAAACTGGTGGTGCCTATGCAGTTTTTCTTGCAGACTGTTTTATGTCTAGCAGCACATCTGGTGCAAACTACCAGGTTATTTGTTTTATGTAAAAACTATTGGGGCAGCACAGTGGCTAAATGGTTTGTACTTCTGCCTGGCAGTACTAGGGTCGTTGGTTCAAATCCCAACCACAGCACCACCTGCCTGTTTGCATGTTCTCCATGTGCCTCCATGGGTTTCCTCCAGGTACTCCAGTTTCTTCCCATACTCTAAAAGACATGCTGGTAGGCAGGGGCGGACTGACAACTCATGGGGCCCCTGGGCAATAGGGGATCATGGGGCCCCTGTGTCCTCGCCCACACTCAAAAAAGCCTATGAAAAAG